TGCTGGTGGTTTTGAGAGCAGGTGCTGGTGGTGAGAGCAGGTGCTTGTGGTGAGAGCAGGTGCTTGTGGTGAGAGCAGGTGCTGGTGGTGGTGAGAGCAGGTGCTTGTGGTGGTGAGAGCAGGTGCTTGTGGTGAGAGCAGGTGCTGGTGGTGGTGAGAGCAGGTGCTGGTGGTGAGAGCAGGTGCTTGTGGTGAGAGCAGGTGCTTGTGGTGAGAGCAGGTGCTTGTGGTGAGAGCAGGTGCTTGTGGTGGTGAGAGCAGGTGCTTGTGGTGAGAGCAGGTGCTTGTGGTGAGAGCAGGTGCTTGTGGTGAGAGCAGATGCTGGTGGTGAGAGCAGGTGCTGGTGGTGAGAGCAGGTGCTTGTGGTGGGAGCAGGTGCTTGTGGTGGTGAGAGCACGTGCTTGTGGTGAGAGCAGGTGCTGGTGGTGGTGAGAGCACGTGCTTGTGGTGAGAGCAGGTGCTGGTGGTGGTGAGAGCAGGTGCTGGTGGTGAGAGCAGGTGCTTGTGGTGAGAGCAGGTGCTGGTGGTGGTGAGAGCAGGTGCTGGTGGTGGTGAGAGCAGGTGCTGGTGGTGAGAGCAGGTGCTTGTGGTGAGAGCAGGTGCTGGTGGTGGTGAGAGCAGGTGCTGGTGGTGGTGAGAGCAGGTGCTTGTGGTGGTGAGAGCAGGTGCTTGTGGTGAGAGCAGGTGCTGGTGGTTTTGAGAGCAGGTGCTGGTGGTGAGAGCAGGTGCTTGTGGTGAGAGCAGGTGCTTGTGGTGAGAGCAGGTGCTTGTGGTGAGAGCAGGTGCTTGTGGTGGTGAGAGCAGGTGCTTGTGGTGAGAGCAGGTGCTTGTGGTGAGAGCAGGTGCTTGTGGTGAGAGCAGATGCTGGTGGTGAGAGCAGGTGCTGGTGGTGAGAGCAGGTGCTTGTGGTGGGAGCAGGTGCTTGTGGTGGTGAAAGCACGTGCTTGTGGTGAGAGCAGGTGCTGGTGGTGGTGAGAGCACGTGCTTGTGGTGAGAGCTGGTGCTGGTGGTGGTGAGAGCAGGTGCTGGTGGTGAGAGCAGGTGCTTGTGGTGAGAGCAGGTGCTGGTGGTGGTGAGAGCAGGTGCTGGTGGTGGTGAGAGCAGGTGCTGGTGGTGAGAGCAGGTGATTGTGGTGAGAGCAGGTGCTGGTGGTGGTGAGAGCAGGTGCTGGTGGTGGTGAGAGCAGGTGCTTGTGGTGGTGAGAGCAGGTGCTTGTGGTGAGAGCAGGTGCTGGTGGTTTTGAGAGCAGGTGCTGGTGGTGAGAGCAGGTGCTTGTGGTGAGAGCAGGTGCTTGTGGTGAGAGCAGGTGCTTGTGGTGAGAGCAGGTGCTTGTGGTGGTGAGAGCAGGTGCTTGTGGTGAGAGCAGGTGCTTGTGGTGAGAGCAGGTGCTTGTGGTGAGAGCAGATGCTGGTGGTGAGAGCAGGTGCTGGTGGTGAGAGCAGGTGCTTGTGGTGGGAGCAGGTGCTTGTGGTGGTGAGAGCACGTGCTTGTGGTGAGAGCAGGTGCTGGTGGTGGTGAGAGCACGTGCTTGTGGTGAGAGCAGGTGCTGGTGGTGGTGAGAGCAGGTGCTGGTGGTGAGAGCAGGTGCTTGTGGTGAGAGCAGGTGCTGGTGGTGGTGAGAGCAGGTGCTGGTGGTGGTGAGAGCAGGTGCTTGTGGTGGTGAGAGCAGGTGCTTGTGGTGGTGAGAGCAGGTGCTTGTGGTGAGAGCAGGTGCTGGTGGTTTTGAGAGCAGGTGCTGGTGGTGAGAGCAGGTGCTTGTGGTGAGAGCAGGTGCTTGTGGTGAGAGCAGGTGGTGGTGGTGGTGAGAGCAGGTGCTTGTGGTGGTGAGAGCAGGTGCTGGTGGTGAGAGCAGGTGCTTGTGGTGAGAGCAGGTGCTTGTGGTGAGAGCAGGTGTTGGTGATGGTGAGAGCAGGTGCTTGTGGTGGTGAGAGCAGGTGCTTGTGGTGAGAGCAGGTGCTGGTGGTTTTGAGAGCAGGTGCTGGTGGTGAGAGCAGGTGCTTGTGGTGAGAGCAGGTGCTTGTGGTGAGAGCAGGTGCTTGTGGTGGTGAGAGCAGGTGCTTGTGGTGGTGAGAGCAGGTGCTTGTGGTGAGAGCAGGTGCTTGTGGTGAGAGCAGGTGCTTGTGGTGAGAGCAGATGCTGGTGGTGAGAGCAGGTGCTGGTGGTGAGAGCAGGTGCTTGTGGTGGGAGCAGGTGCTTGTGGTGGTGAAAGCACGTGCTTGTGGTGAGAGCAGGTGCTGGTGGTGGTGAGAGCACGTGCTTGTGGTGAGAGCAGGTGCTGGTGGTGGTGAGAGCAGGTGCTGGTGGTGAGAGCAGGTGCTTGTGGTGAGAGCAGGTGCTGGTGGTGGTGAGAGCAGGTGCTTGTGGTGAGAGCAGGTGCTGGTGGTGGTGAGAGCAGGTGCTGGTGGTGGTGAGAGCAAGTGCTTGTGGTGAGAGCAGGTGCTTGTGGTGAGAGCAGGTGCTTGTGGTGAGAGCAGGTGCTTGTGGTGAGAGCGGGTGCTGGTGGTGAGAGCAGGTGCTGGTGGTGAGAGCAGGTGCTTGTGGTGGGAGCAGGTTCTTGTGGTGGTGAGAGCACGTGCTTGTGGTGAGAGCAGGTGCTGGTGGTGGTGAGAGCAGGTGCTTGTGGTGAGAGCAGGTGCTTGTGGTGGTGAGAGCAGGTGCTTGTGGTGAGAGCAGGTGCTGGTGGTTTTGAGAGCAGGTGCTGGTGGTGAGAGCACGTGCTTGTGGTGAGAGCAGGTGCTGGTGGTGGTGAGAGCAGGTGCTTGTGGTGAGAGCAGGTGCTGGTGGTGGTGAGAGCAGGTGCTGGTGGTGGTGAGAGCAAGTGCTTGTGGTGAGAGCAGGTGCTTGTGGTGAGAGCAGGTGCTTGTGGTGAGAGCAGGTGCTTGTGGTGAGAGCAGGTGCTTGTGGTGAGAGCAGGTGCTTGTGGTGGTGAGAGCAGGTGCTTGTGGTGAGAGCAGGTGCTTGTGGTGAGAGCAGGTGCTTGTGGTGAGAGCAGATGCTGGTGGTGAGAGCAGGTGCTGGTGGTGAGAGCAGGTGCTTGTGGTGGGAGCAGGTGCTTGTGGTGGTGAGAGCACGTGCTTGTGGTGAGAGCAGGTGCTGGTGGTGGTGAGAGCACGTGCTTGTGGTGAGAGCAGGTGCTGGTGGTGGTGAGAGCAGGTGCTGGTGGTGAGAGCAGGTGCTTGTGGTGAGAGCAGGTGCTGGTGGTGGTGAGAGCAGGTGCTGGTGGTGGTGAGAGCAGGTGCTTGTGGTGGTGAGAGCAGGTGCTTGTGGTGGTGAGAGCAGGTGCTTGTGGTGAGAGCAGGTGCTGGTGGTTTTGAGAGCAGGTGCTGGTGGTGAGAGCAGGTGCTTGTGGTGAGAGCAGGTGCTTGTGGTGAGAGCAGGTGGTGGTGGTGGTGAGAGCAGGTGCTTGTGGTGGTGAGAGCAGGTGCTGGTGGTGAGAGCAGGTGCTTGTGGTGAGAGCAGGTGCTTGTGGTGAGAGCAGGTGCTGGTGATGGTGAGAGCAGGTGCTTGTGGTGGTGAGAGCAGGTGCTTGTGGTGAGAGCAGGTGCTGGTGGTTTTGAGAGCAGGTGCTGGTGGTGAGAGCAGGTGCTTGTGGTGAGAGCAGGTGCTTGTGGTGAGAGCAGGTGCTTGTGGTGGTGAGAGCAGGTGCTTGTGGTGGTGAGAGCAGGTGCTTGTGGTGAGAGCAGGTGCTTGTGGTGAGAGCAGGTGCTTGTGGTGAGAGCAGATGCTGGTGGTGAGAGCAGGTGCTGGTGGTGAGAGCAGGTGCTTGTGGTGGGAGCAGGTGCTTGTGGTGGTGAGAGCACGTGCTTGTGGTGAGAGCAGGTGCTGGTGGTGGTGAGAGCACGTGCTTGTGGTGAGAGCAGGTGCTGGTGGTGGTGAGAGCAGGTGCTGGTGGTGAGAGCAGGTGCTTGTGGTGAGAGCAGGTGCTGGTGGTGAGAGCAGGTGCTTGTGGTGAGAGCAGGTGCTGGTGGTGGTGAGAGCAGGTGCTGGTGGTGGTGAGAGCAAGTGCTTGTGGTGAGAGCAGGTGCTTGTGGTGAGAGCAGGTGCTTGTGGTGAGAGCAGGTGCTTGTGGTGAGAGCGGGTGCTGGTGGTGAGAGCAGGTGCTGGTGGTGAGAGCAGGTGCTTGTGGTGGGAGCAGGTGCTTGTGGTGGTGAGAGCACGTGCTTGTGGTGAGAGCAGGTGCTGGTGGTGGTGAGAGCAGGTGCTTGTGGTGAGAGCAGGTGCTTGTGGTGGTGAGAGCAGGTGCTTGTGGTGAGAGCAGGTGCTGGTGGTTTTGAGAGCAGGTGCTGGTGGTGAGAGCACGTGCTTGTGGTGAGAGCAGGTGCTGGTGGTGGTGAGAGCAGGTGCTTGTGGTGAGAGCAGGTGCTGGTGGTGGTGAGAGCAGGTGCTGGTGGTGGTGAGAGCAAGTGCTTGTGGTGAGAGCAGGTGCTTGTGGTGAGAGCAGGTGCTTGTGGTGAGAGCAGGTGCTTGTGGTGAGAGCAGGTGCTGGTGGTGGTGAGAGCAGGTGCTGGTGGTGGTGAGAGCAAGTGCTTGTGGTGAGAGCAGGTGCTTGTGGTGAGAGCAGGTGCTTGTGGTGAGAGCAGGTGCTTGTGGTGAGAGCGGGTGCTGGTGGTGAGAGCAGGTGCTGGTGGTGAGAGCAGGTGCTTGTGGTGGGAGCAGGTGCTTGTGGTGGTGAGAGCACGTGCTTGTGGTGAGAGCAGGTGCTGGTGGTGGTGAGAGCAGGTGCTTGTGGTGAGAGCAGGTGCTTGTGGTGGTGAGAGCAGGTGCTTGTGGTGAGAGCAGGTGCTGGTGGTTTTGAGAGCAGGTGCTGGTGGTGAGAGCAGGTGCTTGTGGTGAGAGCAGGTGCTTGTGGTGAGAGCAGGTGCTTGTGGTGAGAGCAGGTGCTTGTGGTGAGAGCAGGTGCTGGTGGTGGTGAGAGCACCTGCTCTCACCACCAGCACCTGCTCTCACCACCACAAGCACCTGCTCTCACCACAAGCACCTGCTCTCACCACCACCAGCACATGCTCTCACCACAAGCACTTGCTCTCACCACCACAAGCACCTGCTCCCACCACAAGCACCTGCTCTCACCACCAGCACCTGCTCTCACCACCAGCACCTGCTCTCACCACAAGCACCTGCTCTCACCACAAGCACCTGCTCTCACCACAAGCACCTGCTCTCACCACAAGCACTTGCTCTCACCACCACCAGCACCTGCTCTCACCACCACCAGCACCTGCTCTCACCACAAGCACCTGCTCTCACCACAAGCACCTGCTCTCACCACAAGCACCTGCTGTCACCACCACCAGCACCTGCTCTCACCACCAGCACCTGCTCTCACCACCAGCACCTGCTCTCACCACCAGCACCTGCTCTCACCACAAGCACCTGCTCTCACCACAAGCACCTGCTCTCACCACCACAAGCACCTGCTCTCACCACCACAAGCACCTGCTCTCACCACCACCAGCACCTGCTCTCACCACCCCACACTTGTTGCCACACGCGCTGCTACCACCCGCATTGCTGCCTCCCCTGCTACTGCCACACCTATTGCCACACGCGCTGCTGCCACCCGCACTGCTGCCTCCCCTGCTACTGCCACACCTGTTGCCACACGCGCTGCTGCCACCCGCGCTACTGCCTCCCCTACTACTGTCACACCTGTTGCCACATGCGCTGCTACCACCCGCACTGCTGCCTTTCCTGCTACTGCCACACCTGTTGCCACACGCGCTGCCGCCACCCGCACTGCTGCCTCCCCCGCTACTGCCACATCTGTTGCCACACGCGCTGCTGCCACCCGCACTGCTGCCTCCCCTGCCACTGCCACACCTAGTGCCGTTGCTCCTTGCAAGGTGGGTTCCTCAGGTGCGACGACGACGGGTGCTATTCTTAGGGGACGCTTGTCTGGTAGTGGGAATAAGGTGGATAAGGGGGAAGGGGGGGCAGGTGAGAAGGGGAAGGTGGTGGACAACACGAAGGGGAAGGCCATAGAAATTAAAGAGGCAGACAAGAGGAAGCACGCGGTGGGCAAATGGAAAGGGAAGGCAAAGGTGGATGATGGGCAGGAGGGGGCGAGTGGAGGTCATATGGGTGGTGAAGGGGGGGGTTTGGAAAGGAAGGAGAAGAGATGCGAGGGCAATGAGGCGAAGGTTGGTGCAAGCAAGCAGAAACGGCCCTTGAGCGCGACCCAAAGCGAGATGACTCGCTGGTCCCGCGCGCGCATGGTTCAGATCTCCCGCGAAAACCCCTCCTTATCGCCTCTTCAGGCGTACAACGCCGCCCAGCGGCTCTGGAGGATACACCGGTTGAACAGCGAGGTGCAGGCGAGGCAGGAGGAGGGCGAGGAGGAGGGCGAGGAGGAGGGCGAGGAGGAGGGCGAAGAAGAGGGCAAAGAAGAGAGTGAGAAAGAGGGTGAGGAAGAGGGATGCATGAAGGGCGGCGATGAGACCGAGAAGGAGGGCGAGGAGGAGAGCGAGGAGGAGGGCGAGGAAGAGGACGAGGAGGAGGGCGAGGAAGAGGGCGAGGAGGAGGGCGAGGAAGAGGGCGAGGAGGATGGCGAGGAAGAGGGCGACAAGGATGGCGAAGAAGAGGGCGAGGAAAAGGGCAAGAAAGAGGGTGTAGAAAAGGGTGATGACGAAGTACGTGCATCAAGTGACGACGATGTTCAGGAGGTGCAGCTGATGCGAGAAGCGGGTGATGGAGATGTGAGGGAGCAAGAAAATGTGGAGAAAGGGGTTGGTAGGGCCAGCACCAGTGGCGCGAATGGTAGGGGCAGAAAAAGGAAAGCAGTGGAGAGTCGCATGAGTGAGTCACAATTGGATGCGAGTGAGACGGAGACGCAATTTCATGCGTCTCAGATCATTGGCACACAGTTGCCGCCTTTTTTCACTGTTGATGACACTGTTGTTCCTGAAGTCTCGAGGATGAATGGGGCAACCCGAAATGGTGCGCGAGCCAGTTCATCGCGACTCAAGCGAAATAAGCGTGCACAGTAAGAGGTAACCGTGGTGTGCTTTTCTTTCTTCAGCCCCTTTCCCCTCTTTGTTGCACGCAACCTCATCTACCCTTTTTAAATGTGATGCCACTTAGTTATTCTATGTCATCGCATGTGTACTGCTTTCTTGATTTGTCATTATTCTCCCTTCTTTTGCTTTCTCTTCTCCCTTGCCTTGATTTCTCCCTTCTCCCCTCCCTCCCTCTGGTACATCCGTTCACTCCCCTCCACTTGTATTTCCCGCTTGCCCCCTTTTTCCCTTTCCCCCCACGTCCCCCCCCCCCCCCCCCCCCCCCCTTTCCCCGTTTGTCCCCTTTTTGCCTCTCTTTTTTGCCTCTCTTAACCTATCGCCTTTCCACTACGTATCGGTTCTCCTTCCCCACCCCGTTTTCCCCCTGTTAATGAGCAGATTACAAAAGCGACTGCTGCAATGGCTGGAGCCCAGCAATGGGAGTGAAAATAGTGCCGAACAGAGTTCATGCTAACCGATTTAATTTCAGACTTGCATGTTTGTAATGCTTTTGAAATTTGCTTGCACATTCGCCAGCAGGTCCTCGAATTGAACTTACGGCACAACGATCAATCAGTGTTGCCAGACCAGGGTCCTTGCTATTAGACAATTTTGTATGATTTTGTTTCCCGATGCAAGTTTTCCGACTTCTACCGTATTATTTGCCAGAAATTGATTTTTTGCTTCGTCTGATTCGGGGCCTCAGATGTCAGCGAAAAAGGCTGATTTAGGGTCGGAAGGCTGACATGGGGAGAATGCATGGGCTGATATTTCAGCTTTTTTTTTAATGTATTGGCTGATATTTCAGAGATTTTTTCCAAGTGTACACTGATTGCTCAGCGTACTAACGAGGGGGTAGGCTGAAATCGCGCTATTTCTGATTCGTGTAGGAGCCGTGAGTTTCGGCTGTCTAGGTACATCCCTCGTCAGTCACGCCGAAATAGCCATCTACAGCGCTGATGCAGTGGGAAATCGAATTTTCCCAACGCGTCGATTCGGTGCAGAAGTTCTGCAGCAGAACAACGCACAGTACAGCACAGCGTGCCCCCAAGTCAAGCACCCCCACCTCACCCACAGCACTTAATTGAAAATGGACTCTAGCTTTGTTCAGCCTTAGTTTTTAAGTGAGGCTAATCAGTCAGCCTTTTTTTTTTACCAGAACACTGATTATTCATCTTTTTTTTAGGTACAACACTGACTGTTCAGCCTAGGCAAAAACGAATCTGAGGGTTGCGCTGCCCCGCGCACGCCCTGCCCAACCCCGCGTCACCCTGCCCCGCGCACGCCCTATTCTGCCCCGCGCCGCACTGCCCCGCGCACGCCTTGCCTTGCCCCGCATTGCGCTGCCCTGCGCGCGCCCTACCCTGCCCCGCGTCGCGCTGCCCCGCGCACGCCCTGCCCTGCCCCGCGTCGCGCTGCCCCGCGCAGGCCCTGCCCTGCCCCGCGTCGCGTTGCCTCGCGCACGCCCTGCCCTGCCCCGCGTCCTGCTGCAGCCCGCGCCCTGCTGCCCTGCGCGTCGCGCCCTGCTGCAGCCCACGCGTCGCGCTCTACTGATCTGCGCGTCGCGCCCAGCTGCAGCCCGCACGTCCCGCCCTGCTGCCCTGCGCGTCGCGCCCTACGGCAGCCCGCGCGTCGCGCTCTGCTGCCCCGCGCGTCGTGCCCTACGGCAGCCCGCGCGTCGCGCTCTGCTGCCCCGTGCGTCGCGCCCTGCTGCCCTGCACAGCGCGCACCCTGCTGCCCGCGCCGCCCAGCCCGAGCCGCCCTGCCCAACCCGATCCACCCTGCTGCTCGTGCTACTACTGCTGCTGGTGGAGGTGCTGCAAGGAGTGCTTGAGGTGCTGCAGCCTAGACTCACCGAGCCACTCTGCTGCTCTTACTGCTGCTACTGCTGCTCGTGCTACTGCCTTCCCTCCGTACTGCCCTACTGGTCGCGCCTCCTTGCTTGCCCGCTATGACTTCACTTCGTGGGAGTGGTGACGGCGGTGGTGGCAGCAGTAAGAGTGGTGGTGGCCGTAGTAGCAGTGCCTGTGGAACTGTTTGGTGGGGAGTTTCTGGCGGTGGCCAGATGCAGCTGCAGCGGCGTCCGCGCGAGACCATTCCGCCCCCGCAGCTTCGTGTCTGGTACGCCAGTAGGTGTGGTGGCGGCGGCCGTAGTAGCAGTCGCGGTGGAGCTGTTCAGTGCGGAGTTTTTGGCGGTGGCCAGATGCAGTTGCAGCGGCGTCCGCGCGAGACCCTTACGCCCCAGCAGCGTCTGCAGCTTCGTGAGTGGTACGCTCAGAGTGGGGGGACTTGGAGTACTGTCCGCTGCCCGTACGTCATTTGCACAAGTGATCGGGCTGGTCAGACTTGCGGGACAGTTGGTCACACACAGGCTCGCTGCTTCGCTTGTCAGAGCGATGCTTGGCGTGCAGAGTTTGGCGACGAGGCTGAGCTCCCCCGCTGGCTAGACTATGACACTATCCTCACTGCCATGTACGCTTTGACTATTAGTACTCAGAGTGACTGTTAGCTGTGTGTGCAGCCCGACCCTGGTATAGCGGCTGCTGCTTTAGGTGCTGGTGAGTCTGCTCTACGTGCTGGTGAGTCTGCTCTAGCTGCTGGTGAGTCTGCTCTCTCTGGTACTGCGCCTGCTGAGGCCTTGCACACCTTCACGCTTGACTCAGGTGCTTCCCGCTGCTTCTTTCGCGACAGCACCACAGTCACACTACTCGCAGCACCGGTTGCGGTCTCTCTGGCTGACCCCTCTGGGGGACCGGTTCATGCACGTTCCTCCCGTGTCCGGCGGTTCCGTCCGGCTCACTGTCAGGTCTTCACCTCTCCTTGTTCTCTACAAACTTTGTGAGTAACGCCGTCCTTCAGGATGCTTGGGTTGATACCTTTATCCCTGGAGGACAGCGTGTGGCGATCTGCACGTATGCACGGACAAACCGTCACCTGGCCACGTTCACCCGTCGGTCTGGGTCGAGCCTGTACACACTGACTACTGAGCCTCCTCATGTAGCTGAGTCTGCGTCCGCGTCAGGTCAGCTAGCAGCCCCCTATTCGTGTCACCTCTTGTCGCACCAAACTCTCCTTTGGTACCACCACCTAGGTCACCCCTCCCTGCCACGCCTCCGTGGCTTGCATTCCCGCCTCCTTGTGTCTGGTCTTCCCAGGTCTCTGGCTCCCCTCCCACACTCGCATGCCCCTCCCTGCCTTCCCTGTGTCGAGGGGCGGCAACGCGCCGCTCCTCACTCCTCCTCGTTTCCTCCGACGACTGCTCCCCTGCAGACTCTCCACATGGACGTGTGGGGCCCAGCCAGCGTTCAAGGACAGGGCCGCGAGCGATACTTTATGCTGGTTGTTGTCAACTACTCGCGTTACACCACGGTCTTCCCCTTGCGGAGCAAGGGGGAGGTCCCTGATGTTTTGATCCCTTGGATCCGCGCTGTCCGTCTCCAGCTCCGCGAGCGGTTCGACATGGACCTTCATGTCCTGCGTCTGCACTCTGACAGAGGTGGTGAGTTCGCCTCTGACCTCTTGTGGGACTTTTGTCGTAAGGAGGGCATCCTCCAGTCGTTCACGCTTCCGGCCTCTCCTCAGCAAAATGGGATTGCTGAGTGTCGCATTGGCTTAGTCATGGAGGGGGCTCGTACCTCCATGATACATGCGGCTGCTCCCCATTTTCTGTGGCCGTTTGCGGTCCGGTACGCTGCGCATCAGCTCAACCTCTGGCCCCGTGTCTCCTTGCCGGAGACCTCGCCTACACTGCGTTGGACGGGAGAGGTTGGGTCTGGGGCTGGGGCTGTCGTGCCTTTGTCCGCGATACCTCCGCGGACAAGCTTTCCTCGCACGCCGTTCCCTGCGTCTTCCTTGGCTTTCCCCCTGACGCGCCTGGCTGGCAGTTTTACCACCCCACTTCGCGCCGTGTCCTACCCTCTCAGGACGTCACGTTCGACGAGTCGGTTTTCTTTTACCGTCTCTTCCCCTACCGCACTGCCCCTCTCCCCCCCCCCCCCCCCGCTCTTCCTCGCTCCAGGTCCCCCTCCGGCAAATCCCCTCCCCCTCCAGGGTCCTGCTCCTTCAGGTGTTTCTCAGGTAGACCCACTCCCCTTGGTTGAGCCTGTCAAGGTCATTGGTGACTCTGGTGCTGCTCGGGGTGCTGCGTCTGGGGGTGCTGAGCCTGCGGTTGAGGAGCCTGAGTGTGCGGAGCCTGGAGGTGCTGAGCCTGAGCGTGCGGAGCCTGGGGGTGCTGAGCCTGTGGGTTTGGAGCTTGGGGATGCTGAGCATGCGCTTGCGGAGCCTGGGGGTGCTGCGTCTGGGGGTGCTGAGCCTAGGGGTCTTGCGTCTACACTACGGGAGCCTCTCTCACCAGAGCAGTTGTGCAAGTGGTACGCTCGGCACTGTAGCCTTTCGAGTGGCACTGCTGGAGCTGGAGGCCCTGGTGCTGCTAGTCCTGGAGGTGCTGGAGGTACTGCTGGTACTGGAGGTACTGGAGGTGCTAGAGCTACAAGTCCTGGCGGTCCCACTGGTGCCTCGCCCCAGCGGTCTAGCCAGCGAGAGCCTCTCTCACCACAGCAGTTGCACGAGTGGTACGCTCGGCGCTGTAGCCTTCAGAGTGGCGCTGCTGGAGCTGGAGGCCCTGGAGCTGCTAGTGCTGGAGGTGCTGGTGGCGCTGGCACTGCTGGCCCCGGGGGTGCTCGTGCTGGTGGCGCTGGAGCTGCCGGAGCTGGTGGTGCTGCTAGTGCTGGAGGTGCTCGAGGTAGTGGAGTTTCTGGAGCTGCTGGAGTTGGTGGTGGTGCTGCTACTCGAGGTGCTGGAGCTGCTAGTCCCGGAGGTGCTCGTACTGGAGGTAATGGAGCTGCCGGAGCTGGTGGTGGTGGTGCTGCTGCTGGAGGTGCTGGAGCTGCTGGTCCCGGAGGTGCTCGTACTGGAGGCAGTGGAGCTGCCGGAGCTGGTGGTGCTACTGCTACTGGAGGTACTGGAGGTGCAGGAGCTGCTGGTCCCGGAGGTGCTCGTCCTGGAGGTACTGGAGGTGCAGGAGCTGCTGGTCCTGGAGGTGCTTGTGTTGGAGGCACTGGAGCTGTCGGAGCTGGTGGTACTGCT